TGAGACATACAAACTATGCTTGGGCAAACCGCAGATCAAACGTTTGAGGGATTCTGCTTGGCGCAAAGGATAAAATGATACTGGCGAAGTCGGATGCATCAACAGTAGGAAATTTTCGCAAATCAGCGCTTCAATTCAGTGACTGTGAATCCTCCAAGTCCATGGTGTCGTCTTGGAAGCGACGATACGAAACTGAGTTTGAATTCACCCTAATCCTCAAGTCCACGTACAAGATCGTTATGGTAATTTCTTGTGTGCAACAAAATGAGGGTTGGAGAAAGATGGTTGTTTAAAAAAAGTACCGGTAAGAGGAATGACAAGCATGAAGATGAACGAACCGTTTGTTATTAACACTCAGTTCTTGAAAAATTTAAATCGAGAAATTCAGCAGCTGTGAAAATATTGCTAGAGAAAAACAGGGATAATACTCTTCGCTGACTTATCAGATGTAAATTGAAGAAAAACCCAGAGAACTACAGCCATTTGTGGATCAAAATAAGGCTGAGCTTAAAGAAGTAAATTGCTGTTAAACCATCAAAGAGCTTATAAAAACGCAATTGTCTTATTACTATTTACCGGATCTACAAGGAGGATATATGGACAAAATTCTGTATGAGTCTGTCTTCAGGGATCGACATTCTAACACTTGTAATTTCACAGTGCCAAGCAAAATTTTTTTCCCCTGTGCCCCTAGCCTATTCAGCGCTGCCATCCTGGTTTCCTATGTATCGCTACTTCGTATTTTTGATTCATGCAAAAAAGTAAGAAACTGAGCGCAATGAGTAACCTTTATCCTGTCTGGAACACAGAGACCGCATTCACGACATAATGCAAATAGCTGGAAGGCGTGGATGTAAGAATGATCAATGTATGGCAAATCCTCCGCCGGCGCTTGAAACCACCATCGAGTAGTGCCACAAATGTAGCAGCATTGTCTAAAAGTGTTTTTTTTTAATTTTTTTTTTTTTAATTCAATTTTATAACTGCTGCAATTTTCGAAAACGACTGTTCTAAAACACTCTTTTTTTGCTAATCGCTGAAATCCGATGCTGGTAATGACGCAACGGTATGACGTGAACTAAATTATAATTTCATTTTTTCACCGTTTACATAAAAGGAGTGAACAAAATGCAATCGAACTAAACAAAAATTTACAAATCCGGTGCTGATCTGTGCTCCTTCTCGTGCAACAATCGAGCTTCCATCGTATGAAAAGTCAGCTTACACCTAAAAAATGTAAAAATATAAGGTTTTTTTTTTCGACAGCCTGTTTAAATAAATCTCTCTTCTCCCTTATTACTGGAATTTCCACCTTTTCCCTCAGGAAAAATGAGTATTCTCCAAAGCACAATTAAGCTTCATCCAAAACTGCTCCTCGGAGCGGCTAGACATAACAAATCATCAGCTCATTTTTAATGCTAGCTCCCTTGCTCAGCTGTCTGATTACCACAACGACCCCAATTTTTTCCATTTTTATGCGTTTTTTCCCTTTTTTTACATTTCTGCAATGCAAACTGGCATGCTCTGTACGCGCTTGTGTTGTCTATCTGTATAGCTTGCAACTGGAAAAGAAAGATCTCCGAAATTTGTCTTTCCTTAGAAATCAAAAACAAAACAAAATATTCACACATTTCACTCAACAACTAATGCACAAACATTTGAGTTTTGTGTGGCTGAGCTTCCCAGGACTAAAATTCCAGCAGTACGACGAGTTGCTCCCATGTCTACTTTGAAGGTACTCCTGGGGTGGTGCTTGACTGAGGAACCCAATGGCAAAATTTTGGCTCCGGAGCTTGCTTGGTTGACGAGCAAAAACAATCACTAGCGACGCGTGCCGGGCCCACTTGCGCCATCATGCATTTTTGCAGTGTCTCGTGTTTTTGCAAGATAGCTTGGGATCACAATAGCTAGAATTTATGGCAAACTGCTCCTCGAACTTCAGAAGGTTAATCGTATCACTATCACATGCATTTGAAAAAAGAACATTCTGCTAAAATTTTAATTTCCCAGCATCCTTGGTTCCCTACCTAGCAATCTTTCCGCCAAAAAATTTCGCGGCACCACACATGAGAAACATGCATACCGGGGGCTGAATTTAAAGTCTCTGGGTTCTAAGTGGATTGAGAAAATACCCTTAAAATTGCAGCTTTCTAGCTTTTCTGGTTGTTGAGCAAGTGAATTTCCTCGCCAAAAACTTTCATGGGATCGTACATGAGAACCACGCATACATGGGGGCTGAATTTGAAATCTTTGAGTTCCATACGGACGGGGAACAAAACTGCAAAATTTAGCTTTTTACTTTTTCCGGTTCTCGAGTTGACGATTTCCCTGTCGAAATTTCCATGTGCTCAAACGTGGAGATTAGACGCGCGTGAGGGCTGGCACCGCAGTCCGGGGATGGCGCTTGGCCGAGGAACTCACTGGCAAAATTTTGGCGCCGGAGCTTGTTTGACGAGTTAAAATAACCCGGACAGACACACACATACACACACACACACATATACATATACCGGGGTTGTCACAAATATGCGTTTTGCATATGCACATGTGTGAAAAAACATAACTGCATTTGCACATATGCAAAAACGCGTAATAAACTCAACAGCCACTTTTACCTGAAGTTACTTTCAAAATGATTTAGTCAATCAATATGCGACAATTATCTTCGTTCATTTCATGTAAAGCTGCGTATTAAATGAACAACTGCGAAAAAAA